CAGGAATGAAAATAATCACCATATCTGTGTAAAATGATCTCTGATATTTTGGATCTTTCAGAACCCCACTTATGATTGCTGCATCTGATGGGCAGCTTGATTTGGTGAGAATTCTTCTTCAGTTCGGGGCTGATGTTTTCCAGGAGGACATTGTTGGGCGCACAGCCAAGGATTATGCTATTCTGTATGGATACTCTGGGTAAACTTTTAACTTTATAATTAGAATAAGTCATCAGTTGTCAGTGTGGCCTTTGAATATTTTTGGTAACAGCACTAAAGTTTAATGGTATGTTTAGACATGTCTTGAAGCTGTGCTCAGCGTTGCCTTCCTATGTGTATTGTTCCTGTGTCTTGTATTAGTTTGGAAGTTGAGAAAATTTCTACCCAGGATCCTCTATTACCTTTCAAGTTTGGTTGCTAAGCTCACATCTGCCCAAGATACACTCTAAAATGTGTCTGTAGCCAGAGGTGGAACATGGCAAACTGAAATGCATGTAAACCCTCTCCCCAGACCAGCACCATCGTCCTTACTGCCTTCCACTGCAGTGCCCAGGCAGTGCCAGCTTTTTGTTTCAGATCTAACTGATCTAACTGATATCCCTCCTGTGAAAATCTTGAGCAGTTTCATTCCTCTTATGCATAGCTTTGTAGCTTTGTAGCTGTGGCTGTTATGTGTGCTTGAAAGCCAGGCTGAAGAAATGTGCCAAGCTGGAGTTAATACCTTTGAAGGTTTGAATATGCATCTATAGGATGAAGGTGACTGCAGTTCATAGAATCATAGAATGGTTTGGGTTGGAAGGGACCTAGAAGATCATCTAGTTCCAACCCCCCTGCAAGGGCAGGGACACTTCCCACTAGACCAGGTTGCACAAAGACCTGTCCAACCTGGCCTTGAACATCTCCAGGGAGGGGACTTCCACAACCTCCCTGTTCCAGGGTCTCACCATCGTAACAGTTAATGTCTAACCTAAATCTCTCCTAGTCCAGTTTAAAACCATCACCCCTTATCTTATCACTACACACACTGGTAAAAAGTCCCTCCCCATCTCTCCTGTAGCCCCTTCAGGCACTGGAAGACCACTATTAAGTCTCCCCAGAGCCTTCTCTTCTCCAGGCTGAACAGCCCCAACTCTCTTACCCCGTCTTCATAGGAGAGCTGCTCCAGCCCTCAGATCATCTTTGTGGCCCTTCTCTGGACTTGCTCCAAGAGCTCTATGTCCTTCCTGTGTTGAGGGCTCCAGTTTGGAGTAGTGCTGCAGCAGGCTCTGTGTATCACACTTCACCAATACTTAGGAGTTTATGAGCATGTATGAATATGTGTAGGATGGATAATAAGTGGCTGTTAACTATTCTGCTCAACGGTACATGCAAGTATGTGGCTGTCTTTGCCAAACACATTTCCTCTCTTTCGCTACATAGTCTTGGGAAACAACTGGCAGAACATGCAGACTGGGCAAACCAACAACTGGAAGAAGATGGAGAGCAGGAGAACACTGAAGTTTCTGTGCATAGTTCCCAGAGCTCCACAGCACCTAGCTGGGTGGAACCTGTTGACTTCTCATTGGGTGCACCTGCTGTGGACAGAGGAGGTAGGATCCTTAATGTGGGGGAGCTCAGGAGGAAAAATCACTGTGGCCTTTTCTTGAGGTGGTTTGTATTGTCAGCACTGACTGTGTTCACTGCTGACTGTAGTGCAGGCATCAGGTGTAGCAGCACAGGCAGTTTGGTGAAGGTGCTTCTTGGTTGCTGGTTGGAGACACTTCTTGTCAGGCTGTGAAGGCTGTTGTGGTCTGTGTGCTCCATGTTCACTTGAAGGGGTGTTGCCTTCTCCCTGTCAGATAGCTCTCCTGGGTAGGTTTTCCTACAGAGAGAGAGAAGGAGGGACAGGGAAGGAACTGGGTGAGAGTGCTTTTGTTTTTCAGGTGTGCACTTTTACCTCTAGGTGGCTGTTTAGGTGGTGAAAATCCAGTGTCACTCAGTAGGGTGTGTAAAGCAGGTGGATAGTGATTTCTATTCTAACCCTTGTGTTTCACAGCACACAGACATGGCACACAAGCCCACAGGTGTGATTCTGGCAGCAGCCAAGGCCCCTATCTTGGTGTAGTTGTGGCCTGTCCTGTAGCCCTGGGGGAACAGGCTGAGCTCCTTCATAAGGCTGGTGAAAGCTGAAGTGTGGTACACAATGTCCTGGTTGTGGCCCTTGTGCCTGTTGGTGCAGTGTGGAAAACTGCTGGTGATTGTTCTGTGTGAGGTTCAGCTTTAGATCTTGAGTCTACTTTTAAAATATTTTTTTTACCTTTTCAGAACCCTCTGTCCCTGGGCAGAGCAGCAGATCTTGTAGTATCTACCATGTTGTTCTACATAAAGTTACATCAAACAGTGACATCTCTGCATGTAATGTGTACTCGCATGGAATGAGCACTTAGGAGGTGTCTTGCTAAACCAGCAACATTTGGTCAGCTCTTTACTAATAGAGCACATTCATGCTGTGCTATTTTTATATATTTTTTTTAATTTAGAGATATTTGTTAAACTTCTAGGTATGAGAATACAACTCTGGCCTGTTTGCTTGTTTTTACTTCAGTCCAGCTTAAAGGAGCAGTTGTTTTGGAGATGCATTCATTCATGCTGCTTTGTGTTGCATTGGCTGCCCAAAGTTTCATTGTTAGGACCTGTAGAATTGTCCAAGTGAAGTGTTTTTTGTACTGGTTCATTTTGAGCATGCCACATCTAATGTCAAAATGTTATTTCATGTCTGAACAGCAACAGATGCTTTGTATGAAGAAAGCTCAATAAGGTGAGACTTGAAAAATACCCAACTGTTACTTGAGGGCTAATTGGAGAGACACAGTACTCATTGTGCTTTACTTTTCTAGAAGCTCTGAGGAAGAGGAGGATGAGGACAGTTTGAAAGTTTCTGAAGGAGAACTATGTTACACCCCCAAGGTAGTATGTTTACAGGAGTCATGCCCTCTAAAAATAAATTATTTGTTGGCAGGTTTTCTCCAGGATGGAAAGAACCTGCAGTTGCAGCCAATATTATGGGTTCTTTTCTCTTCTATGAGGTGCCATTCAGTGCTTGCCTGTCATCTCTCCTTGCGTGTTTTCCCTCTTTGGAATGCTGGGGGAGTGTCCTTGTTGTCACCTGCAGGCTCTCACCCCTGCTGTTTTTACAGACGTTCTGCAGAATCACCAACTTATGCAGTGGTGTCTGGAGCATCTGTTTTGTGGCTCTGGGGTTCTGCAGGGGTGAGGAACCTGAGGGTGGTGGTTACAGCCACTCTGCAAGGCTGGCGATACCAGCCTGTTTAGTTTTGACATTATTTCATTTTCTCACACTGATTTAAGTATAAATTATGCATTTTTCTGGCCTGATAGGGAAATGCAGGGTTATTTTGGTAAGTGTATGTGCAGGGACTAATTCATGCAGTAAGTCTGGGGATCTGAACAGTTGCCTTGTCCACATTTGCAAGTAAGAATTCTGAAACTGATCTTAAAGACAGCTGAATGTTACTAAGTATTAGAAAGACTAAAACCAGATTATTAGAACTGTGATGCATGTAAACATTGTTTTGGCAACAATTTGCAGAGGTGCCTGCAGAGTGTTTTGGGTTCAATACCCATCGAGTTGGGTGCATGAGGAATGTTTGTGTAGTTAGAAGTGCAGAATGGAGCCAGCACCTGAGCACTATTAAAAGGAAAGCCTGATTGTATTTACTATTCAAGATTGAATGGGAACAAGTGCTTGTTGTTGTTACTGCTTTAAAAAAAATAAAATAAATATGTATTTTTTAAATTAATCTTTATTTACAGAAGCAGCAGATGCCAAACTTGAGACACTTGGATGCTTCCCAGCAGCACAGAAATACCAGTAAGCTATCTGGAAAAGATTCCATGATATACTGATCTCTAAAAGGGATACTGCTAAGTAGGGTTTGCATTTTATTTTTTTCTGCAGTGAATAAGAAAAAGAGAAAAAAGTTTGAGTCCACAGCACTTAGTCACTTGAGGAAAAAATTAGCCCTATCATTAAATGAAGATATTAATCCCCTCCTAAGCCTTTGACCCTGGTCAAGTCCTTCCTCCATCCTGTCCATCCCTTGCCTGGCTCCTTTTCCAGACATTCCCAGGCCACTCTTTTCCAGTGCATTAGTCTGGAAATACCAATTGCAATTTAAATGAAGAACTCCTTTTATTCACATGCATTTTTCCTTTTCTTGTGCTTTAAGGTGATAGTGATGGTTCTAGAATGGAAAGTCCGAAATGGCCAAAGAAAAGCCTCCAAAAAAGAACTGGCGAATCACTTTGTGATGGCAACCCAGCAGCCCAAAAGTCAATTTCAGAAGACAGCACTGGTGAGAGAAATGAGTTAGCAAATACTGATCCAAACTGATGGAAAAGGTTCAGTGTCTCAGTTGTGACCTGGTCTGTAGGTGCCATGCCAGCAGTGGGAGCAAAGGAAGAGGCTGATTCTTCTCCCTGGGATTCTGAGGTACTTTCTGTACACAGAGGTTCCCCCTTGGGGATGAGGGTAGGAAGAAAGGAAGGCAGGCGGAGAGCTTGCTTTTGACCTGGGCCCTCCTATTGAGGAAGTTTCTTTCCTCATGTCCTGCTTCTGCCATATGTTGGGAAGTGGGGCCCTTGGAAGTTCTTCTGGCCTGGGCCAGCTGCCCAGGCAGGAGTGGAACAAAGTCAGGTCAAGCTAATGCCTTGGGTCTCATAGCAACTGGCCTTTGGGTTTTGTTTTCTCAGCTGTTTGTAACAGTTTTGATCTGTGAGGATTTCCTGCCATGTAGGACAGTTGCTGGTGTGATGGCTGCAAGTTCAAATAAGACTGAGAGCAGGAAGCTGGTGCTTTTCCTTGGAGCAAAGTAGGGGAAAAGAAGGAAGGTGTTCTGGAATGCTGTCAGTGAAGTGAAGCTGGGCTGATGTGAGGAAGTGCTTCTCAGGGCCTTTGCAGGAGCAGGGGTGAGACTTAGGACATCAGGCTTTTCTTTCTGCTGTCACAGATTTCCATGGAAAAGCTGAAGGCCTTGTAAAACCAAGCTCAACAAAGGTTGCTTTTTGTTTCGCACAAGAGAAGTACTTTCCATGTTGCTGATGGGTGCAAAGAGCCTGCTTGTTTCTGCTCTTTCCAGCTGTTTGGATTGATCTCTTTTAGGAAGAAGCACCTGAGCTACCACCTGCAGTTGCTGACGG